CAAGATGACTAAGTTCCAGCGACGAGCTCAAATGTCGCTGCTCTATAAAAAGGGCGACCGCTCATCGCCCAGCAATTATCTCCCAAGTTCCCTCCTTAATGTGGACGCTAAATTGGGACCCAAAATTCATAGCTCACCGGCTTGGTCGGGTTTTGGGCTCTCTCTCGCATTCGGATCAATATGGATTTGTGCCGGGGCGCGATATTCGGACAGCTTATCTTCGGTTCCAAGCGCTTGCTTCCCTCTATTCAGATTCTGCTTCACCGGCGGGGATGTTTTACTTGATTTCGCCAAATCTTTTGATAGCGTTGTTTGGCCGGCTTTAGACATGTTGCTTAAGCACTTTGGGTTCGGGTCTATCTTTCAGCGTTGGATTCATGTTCTATGTCCCAACACCCTTGTTACCTTGATGTTCAACGGCTGCCCTTTGGCTCCGTTTGAATTAGGGGCAAGGGTTCGCCAGGGAGACCCCTTATCGCCGGCGTTATTTGTCCTTTTTATTGAGCCTTTACTGAACTATCTTCGCGTCAACCTACAGGGAAAAGGACTCCGTTGTGGTTCTTCGACGCATTCAATTATCAGTTTTGCAGACGACTGTACCGGTCTGCTGCAAGACCTTCGCCTCACTACAGACTTTCTCGGTTACGTCAAGACTTTTTGCTCGGCGACCGGCATGCGGCTCAATGAGGCAAAGACAGTGGTGCTGCCATTTCGGCCCTGGTCTGAGTATTCTGAGCCTCTTCGTCTCGACCTCGAACAATTGGGAGTTGATGTCGTGGGTTCCTGCGGGCGGACCAAGCTCCTTGGTATTTACTATGGACCTCTGCTTTGACGTACCGCCCGGCTCCAGCATTTGCTGGCCGGCATGCAGACGCGCTGTTCCCTTTGGTCTCACCGCGCGCGCACCCTTCGGGGCCAAGTGGTGATTCTGCAGCAAATTATTTTACCCATACTTTGGTACTCGGCTAGTGTATGTCACGTTCCCGCGTCTGGTTTTCAAGATCAAGTCACCCGCCTCATATCGCGCTTTATCGACAAGGATAAGTCTAAAAGTGCTTTGTATAAAGACTGGTGGTTTCTTCCCCCTGGACAAGGCGGCTTAGGCCTCAATAAGGTCTGCGACATGGTCCATAGCTTACAAGCCCAAATGCTATGCAAAGTTATTTTGGCGGCCACGGCTCACACTTTTATGAGCCTTCCCACGTGGATGGACCCTGTCATTTGCCTGTTCGATCAAGCTATCTCTCCTTATGGACATGATTTTGACATCCTTTATGCGCCAATTGCGACCGGCCCAGGTTCCCCACTGTCGTCGTCGCCTCGCCGCTGGTCAGCTCTCGAACCCTACTGGCATTCGGCCCTATTTGTCTGGCATACCCGTCTACGCCCATCGATCATCCGCATGAATAATAAGTTTGACAAACTTGCCGCACCGGTACTTGTCAATACTGACCTCACTTCAGCAACCACTGGACTCCCACTGGCTGGGAATTACCAGCGATCCGTAATGACAACGCTCTTAGCCGAGCTCGAACTCCATCGGCCATATGATTTGTTTCAACCTTGTGGTCCTTTACTTACGGGGACGAAGCTCTTTCTTAATTTTGCCTCTTTAGCAGGTGCCGAGTCTATGGTGTTGGCTCTAAGTCAGATTACTTGGCTTATATTCACTGCTTGCTAGAGCCTTCATGTCCTTATCCTATTGGCCCGATTCAAACACCTCACTATTTCAGCGTCTTTTATTGCTTGCGTTTTTGGTGCTTTTGACTTGGCTCAACCCATTGTGGCGCGCATTCGAATTCTTCTTGCCAACCCGGCCACCCGGTTTTGCCGTTGTCATGCTTAGGCATCGACATGGGCCCAATGACTGCTTTGTGGAAAGGGACTTTAAGATGAGAAGGCATCTACTGCCGGTTTATACCGACTTCCCTTGATGTATCCAGCACAACGCTCTTTATCTGCTATACCGATTACAATACCTCCCCGGGGCTGCCATTCTTTGTCATCATTGATATGGTGTTTTGGAGACGGCCCCTTATCTTTCTTGGAACTGTTACTTCGCGACTTATGTCTGGGCCCCTTGGATCAACCGTTTTACACCTCTAATTGGTTCCCTGCTTGACTGGCGGTCGGTTTTGTTCTGCCATGAGGAGCCGACACCGGATGCGCAACTGACGTATGGATATAGCCTTATCTTGCTTTTTCATATTGTGTGGGCGGTCATCCTTCGCTGTCTTTGGATTCATCGAAATGATATTCGGTTTACTAACGCTGCGTCGTCCCTTCATGGTCTTCAAGCTCGGATTCACGCTGTTATTTGTATCCATAACCGACTGGTTTTCTTAAGACTTGGCCAGCCGCAGCCTACGTCATTCCAGTATCACATTGCGGCAACTCCTCACTTTGCTCTCTGATCTCCATCTAAGCAGTTTCAACCTACCGGGTCCCTGCCTGACGCTGTATTGCCCGGTCGCCCTAGAGATGCGGTTTTTTAGGGTGTCCCCTGCCATTCCGCACTTTATCGGTTGGCTCCTCCAGTAACATTGCGGCACTCTATACATTCGCCTACCCGCGGACCCCTCTTCCGGTATGCAATGACATTTAATTGTCCTACATTACTCTGTGGCTCCATTCTCTGCTACGGCTTATTTGGCCAAGTTCCGTACGCGCATTGGACATTGCCTTTTGCACTCGCCACTGACTTGATACCTTTCTTACGTTTTTTTCATTTTGGACTATCGTATTGCTATTTGCGCCTGTTTGTGGCCACGGCTTACGCCGATTTGAGTCACTTGTTGCGAAGTCTTTTTGAAGGGATCAGGGTACTACCAATGTGCTGTACCCCTAACGCCTCCGACTACTACCGTTACAGTCTTACTACCGGCCGCCTCCTATGGGAGGTTTTCAGTGTGGACCCCAAGCGGACTTGGGTTACGGGCGTCCTTTTTCGTACAAAGGACAAGTAACTACTCCCACACGACAGCACCCGGAGGTGTTTACCGCAAGCAGTTCCTATGGTCAAGCTCTTGGTGTGGGCGGAATTTGAACCCGTGCCACCTCCGCAAACTCGTGGCGCCTAACCACTAAACCGAAAAGACAAGATATTTGCGCGTGGTGCAACGGCACTGTACGTTGGTCTGCCTTTCCGGGTTGTCTTCCCATAACCCCGGGCACTCTTCACTTCCATTCGCCGTTCCCGCTAGTTTGGTTGTCGTGCTTCTCTTCGCCTCTTCCTTGGTTGCCCTTCCTCTTTTTCTAAATCTACTCACTCGTTTTTACTCTTACTTTTTCCTTTGGGCTAATTTCTGAGTATCACTCCTGACTTACCTCTCTACCTTTGACAAACGAAGTACGGTAGCATGGCTTTTTGATGGATAACAGTGTAATGAAACTTATTTCCCTGTCAATGGCGTCTGTATAAAAGCTATCCGGATCCGAATTCAATTCCGACTGAAAAATGTCGAGGTTACATGAAGCTTGGGATTCGACGTTGCGACATTTTATGGCACTATTGATGTGCAATGGCAAAAGCGAACGTGTTGCGTGATCGCTTTGGCCAGGCGGCAATTCAAGCTAGATTAAATATTGCGTATATAATAAACAGGCAACGATATCAAACACACCAAATGACCACGAAATTACGACGATCGCAATACCAGTAGAACATAAACCAACATGCACTTACGTACAAAAACATAAGTAAGACACCAGCGACGGATCCTGTACGTGCGACGACCCCTTATCCTGGAACTAGTCGTATGTATCCACCTATATAGTTGTCTTTTACTCTGACTTAATCAGCGAGAGACCTTGGTGACTGTTTCATTCGATTGTCTTTTCAAGGATAGGTATACTGTAGGCTGGACATTCCTTTGACCTCGCCTATCACTTTCGTCGATCGTTTCTTTGCAAGGTCACGTTGCTTTTTCCTCTTAAATCCAGATTTGACTGGTCTAGTGTTGCACTAATGCGTAGCTATCGCCTAAGCAATACCGTTATGTGTACATGATAAGGGATAGAGGAGTGTCAATTTTTCTTTTGACTTTGACTTAGGATACTTTTGAAGAAGAAGTGTAATCCATAATCTGACGACAAACGAACAAAGGCAGCTCACATGAACTCTTGGTGGTATTGTAGGTGGTCACCCGAATGCTTGCGGTCATGGAAAGGGAGCCGCACGCTCATAGAGCGCGCAATGGTGATGGAGTGTTTGGTACAAGTATAGCTAATTAAGGTGGCAGTGATCTTGGTATTGATCTGGAGATTGCCGTCTGGATGCTGTGAAGATCGATAGCTCATTGCTACCTGAGGCGAAAGACATCATAAGCGCAAGCGTACGTATTCCGTTCCTTGTTCCGTCCACATCGAACACGTAGCACATCCTCACAATCTATATTGCTACCATCTTTTCATGGTCAATTTCGTTAACGATGAACAGTGGTGGTTGCCTCTTAGAATCAATGTGTGCCGTGGCCACGGTACTTGCGTGTCAATAGCTTCTTTTAATGTAAAACCAAGTGATTAATGGTTAATTGTGATGTACAAGTTTGATTGAGACCATTGCATTCGTTTGGTGTTTGCTGCATTTGAGTGAAGGCTGCACGCACCTGTGAAGAAACCAGATCCCAGCATTTTTACAGAGCACAGAAAAGCAAGATCCAGTGAGCGCACAACCGAGACAACATGTGAAATGGTAACCGACCAAATGACACAGCGTAAGGCGCAAGTCAGAGACGCTGTTTGCACTACTGGTGTGCACTAAAAACCTCTAGCGAGACGAAGTCGTACTAGGAAGCTGCGTAGAGTCCAAGAGTGTGAGAACTTCGTAAAAACTCGCACAAGAAAAGACCGAGTAAACCAGATAACATGGAAGAGGCTGTCAGGCCACGAATGTCACGCCAAGTTTATCTATCCTCTTTCGTCAGTATGATAAAACTTAACAGACCAAATAGAGGAACACAGAAGCGTAGACGGGTAAGACGTTGCGGCTCGCCAATCGTTTACTTCAGCTTTGTCGCGACCTTGTGAATCCAGTCTACAAGAAGCGGGAACAGGGCGGATACACTATCGTTGATGAGACCCAAGAAAAATTGCTCTGCTTGTTCGTCCGTCAAATCCAAACGGAACTTCTCTTCGACCTTCAGTAAAGTCGTCGCAGGATTCGCTGATAGCTCTTCAATACCAGAATCAGCCATCAAACTGAGCAAATTCAAAATCAGATCGGCACTTTTGCGCAGCCAGTTATATGCTTGGCAGCAGTAGGTCGTAAATTTCTGGTAATGCTCACTTGTAGGACCACCCATACCTTCCACCATCTCTTTCGTAAGCTTGAACGGAGGCGGATACGGCTTAGGATCAGCGCCAAAGACAAAGCCGAAGTCAATGTGAAACATGTGGCCTCCGGCTTTCATCATCAAGTTGTCCAAGTGGCGGTCTCCGATGCCCAGCAAATACGTTAGTACACAATAGCCGGCCACTGATTTCACGTATGTGCTCAAAGCTTCGGGTGCAATTCCAAACTCTGCACTCGGATCCGGATTGTGTTTCCGCAGAAAACCCACGATCTGAGGCGACTCGAAATGGGAGACCACATACGATACGGGGTAGGAATCTTGAACAAATTCCATCAAACCGTCGTTGGCGCCTGTCGCCAAGATACGGTACGGAGTCAGCTTCAAATCTAAGTTTACCTTTTTCAACAAACGGTCCATCAAAATGAACATTTGCATGATCAATTGATCCTGGCGAAGATCGTCTCCATTCTTCACCATGAACTTGTACATTGGCCCTTCCTTCTCGCGGTGCAAGAGACTAATCATACGAGTCGGCAACGATTCGCGCATCATGTTACCATCGTTTCCGCCAAACATCGGCTGACTTAGATTCGTCATGCCATGTCCTTCACCTTCTGCAGTGGTCGAGTAGAGGTGTTGGTCATTCGGAGGAATGACTGTTTGGAACTGAATCACGGCCGGGTACATCGCACTTTTGAACATTTTCGCTGAAGAAGGAACAACTCCACTCAAATGAATGCATGGATCCAACGGCAGAGAAATAATGGTCCCTCGAGGCCACGGAAACTGCTTCAAATAATGCCGCAACTTCTCTTCTTTCTGGTCTTTTCTGCCTTTTTCTTCCCGAGCTTTGTTGTGGATTGCCAAAATGTGGCTCATGAAATCACGCTGAGCCATTAACATGTCATAGATCGGCTTCTTCTCGGCATTTCGCTTCATTTCTGTGAGCATTTGATTCAACACAATGTGAAAGATCTCCGAGTCCTTTGTTTGCTCCCCTGCCTCTACTTTCAGGTACCAGTAAAAGTAGTTAGCCATTTGGAAATTTGTGCTTGACCGCGCAATTAGGAACCGCGCTAATGGACCGAGGCTGTCACAAGCCATGGATCCGTCCGTGCTACTAATGTCGTCTCCACTCAATGCTCCACGAGAAGATGTGATGGCGACGCCAGGTTTCTCATACCGCAACGCCTGCACAAGCTGCAACAGGAAATCAAGCAAGTCTTCGTTCTTAGCCGTCGCCAGAGTGGAAACAGCGAAATGGCGCACAATCTCGTTCTTGAACTCTTTTTCACGGCCCAGTAGCTTTAAGGCGTCGGCAATGTCGATTTCACACCATTGCGATAGCAAATCTGTAGCTTGCTTCACTTCCAATTCGTCTTTCCAATCAACGGACAGAAGGAATTTCACCACCGCCTTCTTGTTATCGGTCAAAGTGTAGCGGAATTTCCACAGCAGATCCTTGTCCTCGTTCTTCAAATTGTCCGTCGGCGTTGCCAGCAAAAGCTCAATGCGTGCCTTTTCGTCACGGCTTGGCTTGAGATTGGGATCAATCGAACCGCGCAGGATGTCGCGTGCAAGCCGACGGTACTTGCGTTCGGCAGGGTTGTCTTCATTCAAGTCGGGATCCCACACCGTCACAAGGCTCGGCATCTCTCTGCTTCCAGCAGACGCTGCTGTTGTCGCCAGGTCGTACGATCCGCTGAGTGCATGGGGTTCGTATGACGTAGCACTGGATATATTGTTACCACTTTCATAGTTCATACGTCTCGATCCCATGTCTGCAGTGTAGGACGACGTCAAATTGCGTTGCGAGTAGGGTTCCTCCTCGTACACGACGACGTCTCCGAAGTACGGCATCTCGAGCCACAGCAATGCATCTTCGCGATACGAGCAGAAGGGTCCAAGCGCGTCTCTCCGCGTTGGTGGCTCGCTGCCTCTTCGAATGCGAGCGATTCGACGGTCTGTCACACTGTCCATCCACTCGTTACGCGCAATCTCCTTGCGCTCATACTTCTCACGGAGCTTGTCCAGTCGGAAACACTCCTGTCGCACCCACTCTTCATCGACTTCCGACGGGGTCGTCGTATTGGGGGACGAGTCTGCCTCGCGACCTTCCCAAATGCGAAGACACTGCACACCGTCACGTAGAACGCCCTGCTTGGTGAAGAACGAGAACGTCGAGCCGCCAATGGGGACCCACCCCACGCTCCAGATGGTTATGGCCAGCAGTGAGTTGCGCGAAAGATCGCGATAGCGCACGGGAAAAGAGATCCACTCGTTCCAGTAGATCGTAGAGTTGCTACATTTCGTCGGACTCTTGGAGCTAACAACGACAACAAAGAGCGTCAGTGTGATATCAGCATTAGCTTGTAGCGCACATGGCCGTCAACTAAAGGGAGACAGGACGCACCTGACGACCATAGGGTGCAATGGAAGACCATCAGAAAAGACCTGCGCCGTCAAGAAGATTTCGCTGATGGGCGAGTTGCGCACATCGGACGACGAACCTGCGAGCTGCTCCAGTCCAGTGAGCGGCGCGTCGGCAGCGGCACGTTTGGGTGCGTCACTGCTGATGGAACATCCAAGAGCAGGTGCGAGTTCGACCAGCGAGATCTTGACGGAGATGCCCGTGCTGACGCCGCTGCTGAGGTAGTAGCGGTACTCCTTGAGGCGGCCCGCCATGTCGGACTGACGTCAAGGAGAAAGGGATGAATGTTGTTCGAATGTGATGGATACGTCGACGGCCGGCGTAACCCTATGACACCAATGACGTGACGTCGTCAAAAGTATGTCAAGCACGAGTCCGAACCGAAGCGCAAAGGCCGTTCGTTGGAAGCAAACGTTGACTGATGCGATCTGACTCTCTCTGATCGACAACAATGGACAATGGGTGAGCGCATAAGCTGAACTGACGTGACGTGCCGTCGGTAACAAGAACGTTGATCGTGCTTTGTGCAGATCAAGTCTCATGAGCCTCACCAAGACGTAAGTAGGAACGGATCGACCAAAGGAACCACGTATCCGTCGCCTGGATAAGTCTGCCGCAATCCAGCGGCCGCAATTCCCCGTTGGATGACATACGTATTCAGCAAAACGGCTCGTAGCAGTCAGTACGCGTTGCCGTCAATTGAACCAATTGAGCGGCTTTTGCTCGTTATAGAGGCGGTGTGGTCATGCTGTCGTTTCTCTGCCATCAACTGTCATGCGACATATTTGCGCAGAAAATGATAAATTTTACATACGGAAACAACCATAGTGAGGAAAAAGCTCCAGGTCGCGCGGTCGTTGGACCATCTTGTGCACACGCCTGCAAACCTGTTCACAATGTGTCGACCCCCACGTTTCCATGCCTGCATACGGCTTTGACCAGCACTAGCGGCCGGTCTGCCTACAAAGCATCGAAAACAAGGTGAGGCTCGCGTGCTCTAGCCTACGGCCTGCTCTTCAACCGTCTTTTTCCCCACCTGGCGCTGCCTCACGCGCCCTAGTCCTTGTCACTTGCCTTTTCTACACCTTGCGCTACTCTTTGAACCACTTGAACCGCCTCGATGTGGTTAAGTAGAGAGAGTGTGTATGTCTGTGTATGCGTCAGGCACTGGCCAACTGATTGCTTGCCCGCGCGCGCTGGCTGATTGCAGTATGATTTCTGGCCCTTACAATACTACCGGTTTTCAGGTGGTGCCCATTCAGCTGCGACCTCACGACGACGGACGAGGGGACGAATAGGCAGAAAAAGACCGAACCGGTCTTTCTTTGTGACGCACGGGGCACTGGGAGTTTGTATACTTTCTCGCCGCAGACCAGCCGTGGCGAAGTAAGCCCAGACAGCGCCACTTACCCAACAGATTGGCGCCCGACTCTCGTGTACACACGTGACGCGGAAGGCAGCGACCGACCGTCCGACCGATTGGGAGAGCGAGCGAGAGAGAGAGAGAGAGCGTGCGTGCGTGCCCTCGAGACAGTCCGTCCATTCCGTCCGTTCCTGGGGCCGCGTTTCCTCCCCTTTGCGCCGCCGTCCCACAGAGCGGAACGCGCTAGCGACGTAAGTTTCGACGCCCCTCGACCCGTACATGTGTCTGTGCCTGTGTCTGTCTGTCTGTGTGGTGGACGAAAGACGCTGACACGATGTTGTTGTGTCTTTCCCTCTTCTTCTTCTTCTTCTGCTGTTGTTGTTCTCCGTGTGTGTCGTGTGCTTAGGTAGACAGACGTTGTACCATGTCGCGCAAGGGGCTCAAGGGCAGCAGCACTATTGGTGGCAATGACGTGCTGACGATCGACCAGCTGCGCCACCAGGACGACTGGGTGCTGGACACGGAGCGGTACCGGTGTCACGTGTGCACGCGCAACTTTACGCGCTTCCGGCGAAAACACCACTGCCGAAAGGTACAGAGACGTTGATGAAGAGGGCACGGCGACCACCAAAGTATGCTAACAAACGCCACGTTGTCGTGACTCTCGCGTTGCTCTGTGTTGATCCCATTGTAGTGTGGCGAGGTGGTGTGTGGCAACTGTACGCTGAAGAAAGAAGCAGAGCTGCCTGTCATTGGTCGCTCACTGGTTCGAGTGTGCATGTCTTGTATCCTGTCGCACGCCAACAGTCAGGCCAATCCGCAGGCGCCACCCGTCGCCCCTATGTCTGGCTCAGCTGGCGCAGCCACGTCGCCGCCCCCGCGTGATGAGCATTGGGAGGCGCAGAACTTTCATTCGCCGACGGGCAATTCCGAGGGTGACTTGTCGCACTTCTCGCGCGATTACCAGCAGCCTGAATTCGACTATCCACTGGACTTTAGCTGGGACCATCCGTGGCCCAAGCCCCCGATTGTACCATGTGAGTCTGATCGCCTTGAAGTTCTGCGCGGGTTCGACATCATGGACACACCTAGTGAAGACGTGTTTGATATTATTTGCGACCTTGCGAGCAATGCATTGAAGAGCCCCATCGCGGCTGTGAGTCTACTGGATGAGGATCGCGAGTGGTTTAAGGCTAGCGTTGGTCTAGCGCAGAACGAAGTGCCGCGGTCTGTGTCTTTCTGCGCGCACGCCATTATGTCAAAGGAGCCGATGGTCGTGATGGACACTTTGCTGGACAAGCGGTTCGCCAAAAATCCGCTAGTGACGGGTGCCGCAAAGATCCGGTTCTACGCCGGCGCACCGATTTGTACACCATCGGGCCATCTTCTCGGCACAGTGTTTGTGTTTGACACGCAGCCGCGCAATACGTGCGATATTGCGACGCTCGAGAAACTCTCGAACGTGGCGATGAAGAATCTTGAAGACCGCAAGAACGCAGTGGCCACGCCTCTTGACAACGGGGAAGCGGTGGAAGTCGTTGAAGATGACATGCATCAGGCAGAAAATATGAAGCGCACTGCTGAGCCGCTCCGGGAATCAGGATATGGAATCGCGAATCAAGTTGTGACCCAGCCGATTTCTGGCACGTCACAAGACCTTGTAGCAGCCAACACTGGCGACGGTCAGGTCACGGCAGGTCCGAAGATGGAGACAATGCTCATGGATCTGTTGTGCCGCACTACTGAAACGCAGCAGCAGTTAGCAACACAGCAGGGAGCGATGTTCCATACACTAGGTCAACACACTGCTGATATCGACAAGTTGGCGACAGCGATGGCGCGGATGGAGGCAAAATTAGACGCGATGGTGGAATAATTGGTGGGAATGGTAATGCACGCGGTGGATAGTAGCGGCGATGCGTGCGCAGCTCGAGAGCAGACAAGCGGGCGGTCGCGGCTTCATGAATGAGGTCACGAACAGGAAAAGTAAAAAGCAGCAGATTCATACATTCGCACACGCTCCTTAATCGTATTCAAATTGCTGCATTAGAGGGGGTAATGACGGACTCGGTAGGTAGAGCTGGGTAGGTAGGTAGAGCTGGTACGTAAAGCTTCTGTCATGTAGATCGATGCACTCAAGTTTGTCATTGACGCCTTTTATTTGTTAAACTCATCTGCATTGTTGGAATAAATGAATCTTGATTCTGCGCACAAGGATTCATGACAACGTCTATTTTGCCTGCATAATTTAGACGTGACCCAATATAATGTGGCATTCCATGTCTGTCGCTTTCAAGCGCTCTCAATACGGGTATAAAACAGTAAAGCAGTAGAGCGCTTCGGTCATCAACTGTCTGTTTGCAAACAACAAGCCGGACGAGGGGCTTTTACTAATGAATATTGATTTTTAGCAAGGATCAGTCGCGCATGTATAGACTGTTTGATCCACAAGGCAAACGTCTCAAACTAGTCTACGAAAAGACAGCAAAAGACGAAGAAAAATTAATGGCCAAACGACGACGTTGATATCGGTCAGCGTCTTTTTGGAGATATGGCCTCTCCGCGTATCAGCAAACTATCGCAGCCGAACGCTTCAGGATCACAGATCGAAACGATGATATCCAACCTGTCTTCAAAATACACGACGGCAGATGCCACTTGATACATCCAGAAGGCTCACGATAGTTATATATTAATACAGGAAAGATGGGCGGAAGTGTGCAAGGATGAACATACTCGAGAAAAAGGAATGGACAGGTGTATCTGAACGAACGAGATTTGATCACTGTCCGATGCACACACATTTTGTTATAAAATTATAAAAGGTATGGAATTACATTCAATATATCGTCACACATCCCAGAGTGCTGACTACCTACCAAGCCACGCCAGGGTTATTGATCGAAATTTTCTTACATAAATTTCAATTTTCACATAGCATCAACATCGAATGTAAATTTCTTCATTCTGCGTCGAGTACTTCATTTTGCTAGCACGCCAGCTGCGCCACTTTCGCTGGCATCTATATAAGTATGTTGCATCAACCGTCAGCAGTGTAAGTGTGTGCAGGTGACCTCGCTACGAGACATTAGCATTTGCCCAGTCCATTGCTTTTGATGTATATCTTGCGCAAGCAAAATGAACATCAGCGTAAATACTAATCGAGCAATGAAAATTTATGGACATTACATGAGGAAATTGTATTCATTTAAAGGCGATGATACTCTATATTCAGAAGAGGTGAGCCGATTTTATATATGGTTAACATACATACGAAATGTTAGTGGAAAACATATTAGCTCATAATATTTTGCAACATCCTCATTTAGAGTGTGTTATAGAAATAATTACCTCTTGAGGTGCATTTGGAGTAGCCGACGACACCTTGCTCGTCGGCTGGTTCAGGACACGACTATAAGGAGGTAATTTACCGATGACATATGCGCGCAATGAAGGATGAGCAGGATAATGTCGTTTTTTTAATAAAGCATTACTAAATTAGTCTCCTGACGACTAGTCAATAGTAATGTCTCACCTACTGAAAGCATTTACTTTTGTTACGACCAAACAGTCCTTGTTTCATTTAACTTACGCATCACCATGCTTATAACGCATGCGAAGTTTGCAGCCCTTCTGTACCTTTTACCAAAAAAGATAGCTGACGCCCTCATCAATACAAGCGTAACGCAAGCGTGGTTATACTCAATAGCACTTCGTGGTCCGTTCAGCGACCATAATAACATCAGACATCGGCATATGATAGCAAAAGTCTACTGTGCAAAGCGTAGCATTACTACAATTACTACGATGGAAAGTTGTGGGCATTTGCAAACGAGCGACGCAGGTGACTATCTTAATCGGATCCATCATTTTTTATAGCCGATACAGGAT